AGCGTGGTTCAGAGTCCGTAATACAGGCTTTAGTCAGGGGCAGGCAGCGAGAATCAGAGTCCGTGTAATCAGGCTTTAGGTCAAGGGCAGGCAGAAGACAGAGCAGAGTCGAGGAACGGGCTGAAGTGGTAAACGGGAGATCAGGCAGGATAGAACGCTCAGAAATGCTGGCCGGGGCTAAACAAGACTTCGCAATGAAGTGTGTGTGTGAGCTGCTTATATGTGGTACGTGGGTCATTAGTGAGATGGAGAACAGGTGTGCTGGGATCTGAGTGAGAAGGATGACGTAATGGTTAGAAGTCCGGAGATGGTGACCTCTGCTGGTCAGCGAGGGGAATGACTGGGACCGAGTCGGTGACAGTACTTATGTAAACATGTGAAAAGATATTTAAACAATATCTACACACACATACTGTTGGAGTCAGAATTATTAGCCCCCCTTTGTTTTTGTTTTTTCTTTTTTTAAATATTTCCAAAATGATGCTTAACAGAGCAAGAAATTTTCACAGTATGTCTGATAAAATATCGTTCAAAAACACTATAGCATTTACTAAAAATTACTATGGTATATTTGAATGTGGGATCTGTTACTTTTTTCTAGTTTTTTTTATTACCTTGCACTTTTTGTTAACATTTATCATTGTTATTATTGATTAATGTAGTATATAAGTTTTCATGTTCTGATTTCAATGTCTACTAATTAAATTGTTAACATTTATTCATTTGTTTTCTTTTCGGCTTAGTCCCTTTATTAACTTGAACTTGTGGGGGAAACCAGAGCACCCGGGGAAAACCCAAGTGAACGCGGGGAGAAAATGCAAACTCCACACAGAAACGCCAACTAACCCAGCCGAGGCTCGAACCAGTCACCTTCTTGCTGTGAGGCAAACGTGCTACCCACTGCGCCACCGCGTCTTATTGTTATATTCTTAAGAATAAACTATGATGTGTTCATTGGATGAGTGTACTTGCTATTATATTGTCATTCTGGCATTATATAATATATGGCATAAAAATGGTTCTAAATTGACAATAATATTGTTTATTGCAATATATTTTAGTGCAATATATCATACAATAAAAAAATAAACATTATTTTATAGGCCTATAAACAGTTTGTTGTTTACTAAACTGTTTGTTTAAAGCAAGAATTTTACCTTTAAAAAAGTGAGCAAATATTTTATATATTTTTCAGAAAGTTATAGGGGACCTTTTCTGCCCCTGATGTAAGGATGTAAAATAAGTCCCTAGACATGTGTATGAGTTTCAACCCATGCGGACAAATAATTCTTTATAACTCTTTAAAACTGCCCCTTTAAGACTTTGATTCTAATTGTGTCATTTTGGTAACTGTCGCTTTAAATTCAAATGAGATTGTGCTCTTTTCAAAAGAGGGCAGAGCTACAAATGCCTATGTGTCAGCATAGTGGCAGATTTAAAAACAAGTCTAACATTCTATGCTAACGAGGGAGAGAATGTCACTAATGAGTGGGGCTTTCCTCCTCTGATGAGATGTACAAAGGGAGAATGTCAATCAAAGTGTTTCTGCAGACTGTTTTTATGAAGTGTGATTATTCATTCATTCGTTTTCTTGTCGGCTTAGTCCGTTTATTAATCCATGGTCACCACAGCAGAATGAACCGCCAACTTATCCAGCACGTTTTTACACAGCGGATGCCCTTCCAGCTGCAACCCATCCACACACACTCATTCACACACACACACTCATACACTATGGACAATTTAGCCTACTCAATTCACCTGTACCGCATGTCTTTGGACTGTGGGGGAAACCGGACCACCCGGAGGAAACCTACGCGAACGCAGGGAAAACATGAAAACTCCACACAGAAACGTCAACTGAACCAAGGCTCGAACCAGCGACCTTCTTGTTGTGAGGCGGCAGCACTACCTACTGCGCCACTACGTTGCCTGAAGTGTGATTATAAAAAAATTAATTAAAACATTTTTACCAGTAGAAGCTGGTTATATTGACAGACTGTTGCCACACAACTGTTTAAACCCTTATAAAATTGATTTAGTCCTCTGTAATATCTCAAGGACCTTTTACGTAATTCACTGTAGAACAAGACCAAAATACTGATTACGAATCTTGTTTGCATTGTTCAGCACAAAGACTTCTAACTACCCAGCTTATCAGAGAACATTCGATATTCTTGCGATATTAAAGTTTCCATTCAAAGTCAGATTCCCAGCCAACAAAGTAAACACGCTGAAGCCTGTATGTTTGCAATACATCAAAATCAAAATCTTCCACCATAGTTTGCCAATATTATGTCACAACATATTTAGCCTGTTTTTTTTCTGGGTTCCTGCACAACCTACTCTTGCAAAATGTGGAAGTTCAGCACATAAAAACAAGTCTAACAAGTTTCCCACAATGCAACATATTTAGTGTCCTTTCAAGATCAGGGCCTCATATCACTAACAAAGCTCATTCCCAAACATTTTCACACTATTAAATTTCCACTTTGTTAAAAAGACAACAAATACAACATATTGTAAAAGACACACTGTAAAACATGTTGGTTAATGAACAGGTTCTGTATTTTGTGGTTCGCATGGTGTTTTCTGTTTATTCACAGTTGTCAATTGAATGTTGGGAGTTTTTATGGAGCCAGATTAGAATCTAAAGTGATTCATGCAAAAGACACAATGTACCCATGTGTAGTCAAATTCACATGCATGAAACCAAATTCATGTGCACAAAATATCTATATGTATTCACAAAAACAATTTACTTGCACAAATTACTGACATAATTTCATAAAATATATAGATGCTCCCATCGATGGGCCAAAGATCAGTCTCTGCCGATCATTGCATTTCGCGACTCGATCGCTACTCGCTGATCTTCATGAACCAATCGCAAGTGTTAGTTTACGAATTTTCAACCCAGGTAATACATCCACAGCACGACAACACGTGAGCAGTGTGTCCAGTAATTTTCAGTAAAACCACATTTGCAAATGTATAACAGTGTAGAACATTTTTTTAATGTTTAAAATTTGCGAGTTCATCCTGAATGAAAATGCGGTAATTTGTACCTTTCAGCCAATTAGATGAGAGCTGTATTCGATGTGACTCACTCTGCACAGCTTTTATGCAGTCTGATCCTCTCCAGCATGGCAAACCAGGCTTCAAGCCATAACTATTATTTTTGCTGAATTGCACTGACGAAACACTTAAGGCTCTATTTTGATGATCTAGGCGCAAAGTCTAAAGCGCATAGCGCAAAAGCATTAAGGGCGTGTCCGCATCCACTTTTGCTATTTTAGGGATGAAAAAATATGTTTTGTGCCGCTGCGCATGGTCTAACAGGGTTGTTCTTATTCTCTTAATGAGTAATGGGTGTGTTTTGAGTATAATGTGCATCAAACCAGAGTCTCGTCTCCCATTCCCTTTAAGAGTCATGGTGCATTTGCTATTTACATGGCGGACTTTGTAAGTGGAAAAACTGAAAGCCTCACTATGAGAAAACAGTTAAACAGAGCATCTGCAGCGCGAGGATAAAGAACGAACCTCTTCTTTACTTTACTGCTTTACTTTTGAGGGATAGGGAAACGGTGTTGTACGAACTGCACTGAAGACATCCATATGTAGTCTACATATTTCATTTCATTTGTTAGACGCAAAGATTTGCTTTAAAACTCTTTCTAAATTCAGTTCTAATTTCCAGCAAACGAATAAAAGAACAATAATAACATAGTGTGGTCAAAAAACGAAGTTATATCCAAACTCACATCCTTTTCTTAGGCCCCATATGGTGATGCAGACGTCTCCAAAACGGGTGGACAAATCTAAACATGTTTTTATTAAAACAAATATAAATGTGCATATAATTAATAATAGTGCTAATAATAATAACATTATACAAATGCAAATTGTCAAGAATACAATGAAAAAAGCCGCCAACATGAAGAAGGCATGGAGGTAGTGTTTTTTAATTTATGTAGAAAATAATCTTTTTTTTTACATTTTAATCCTTTATTTTTTTTTCCATTTTTAAAGATAGTTGTGTATTGCTGTAGATCCTATGTGCAATAAGTGTTTGAACATGCATAGACGCATAACTAACGCACTCTGTACTGGACTTAAGACCAGCTTTTACTTGGTCACTGGCGCAGTCTATTTCAGTTCCTCAAAATAACAACGCTCCAACAATGCGCCCTAACACACCTCCTTTCTAGACCGGAACATCCATGAGTTCACAAAGTGGCTCAAATGGATTTGCTATTTAAACAACCTAAAAATGCGCTGGTCTGAAAGTATCAACAAATCGCCCAAACACGTCTTGCGCCTTATTGCACCGGGTGTATAATAGGATCCTTCATTTCCATCATATCTGATGAACGTAAACAGGCTGTTGTTAAATAGACCCTATCATTCAGTAATAAATATATAAATATAAGCATTTTAAAATGACTCTTATAATAAATTTATTTCTTTTTTATTAAACAAGAAACAAAAAAAAATGTTTGCATGTGTACACCGTGTCTTTTGTGTCAATTACTTTAGATACTAATCCGTCTCCATAGTTTTGAATTCTGCTCTGTCGACTTTTGATGTTGAAATTTAACATTGCAGATTAACAAAGTGACTCATATAGGCATTTTTGTAGTTTGAGAGAAGATATTGTTTAAGAAGTAATTTAGAGTTTGTAAAATAACAAAAAAAAGCACTGGCAGCTCATTACCAGGTCTTTGTACTGTCATTTACAACACAAACACAGACAATATATCACTTCAAACTATTAAAAAAAGTAACTTTTCAACAAAAAACACTTTTAGAGGAAAGACCAAGATCTCAATTCAATGGCATAAATAAGTGAAAAAAAAACACGAATCACAAAATTTATGCAAATTTATGCATATTTTTACAGTGCATGTAAGCTTATTCTCTCAAATAAAAAAGGAGGAATGTGGTACAAAACACAGTAAGGGGTTTTCTATTGGAGTAGTTGTATTCCCATGTCTTACCCTGAACAAGCACCTGTCCAGCTGTGAGCAGCAGCTGTTGGCCGTGGTCTCCAGGCTGTGCTCCATATTGCAGGATGGTGGCCCCGGGCTGAGGTGTGGCGGGGCTGGGGAGAGTCAGAGCCTGAACCCCTTGTAAAGCCTCTCCTCCAGGGCCGGCCAGCTGGATTGCTCCACCCTGAGTGATTGCAACTACACAGACAAACAAGAAGATGTACAGTGTTGAACCTAGGGCTGTGCAATATGACAATATAAAGTCAAGCCCGAAATTATTCATACCCCTGACAAATTTGGATGTAAGGTCACCAACCCAGGCTCATTCTAAAAACTTACCACTATATACATTTCTGGAGAGCACCAAATACATCCCAGAAGCTACTTTTTTTGCAGTTTTTGTTTTCGCAAATCCACCAGAGGCCGCTGTGTATGCTTTTTAAGATCTCAAAATTCTCTCGCAAGTGCCATTTGCGTAAAACCACCAGAAGCTGCTGTTGACTCACTGACTGATTGACTGATCGACCCTTCTCTTTACCTAAACCCAACCGACAGTTTTAAAAAGCAATCCAGAAAAACAAGCCCTCTTCTGATTATACCATATTTTACCATATTTTCAGATTTTATCACATCCTTATGCTGTTATTTACTTGTTTATTTTATTTTTTTGGTTTCTGTTTTAGTCTTACCCGCTTTCTGAAACCCTACTTTGCCGGACTTGCACCCTGTCGTCGTGATCAACTCCTTTCTGCCTTTCAAGTCAGACAACGTACATGGTGAGCTACTGGCCATCTGGAAACAAGGGGTAAGCCGTCCATACGGAAGTAAGCAGCCAGCTTGGAAGTGAAAAAAGGAACGCCGCCAGACCACCCCGTAGCATTCATTTTAAAGACGAAATGCAGCCATACGTACCTCTGGCTACATAATTTGCGATCTCCAGAAACGTATATAGGGCTATGTTTTCAGAATGAGCCTATGTTACTTTCTTTTACTCAGCCAGGTTTTTTTTTTCCAGAAATAACACAGGCTTCAGAAAATAAGACGATGTACAAAGGCATCATAGTGGAAATAATTTTTTTTTTTGCTCTTATTTACATTTGAACAAAAAAATGTCCTATCCAAAATTGCTCAAACTTCTTATTTAAAATGAGTTGAAACAACACAGTTATTTTTTGTGGAGACAACTTAATTCTTTCATGTTTAATCCACTCAAATTTGTAAAACCTAATAAGTTAACTTAATTCCTTTAAGTTAACACAATTCTTTAGGATTTTTTGGGACAGCTTAATTATTTTATATTTAATCAACTTAAATTTGTTAACCTTATCGATTTCTGTTTGGACAACATGAAGGAATTGTGAGGAACCCAGCATTTTTTAGTGTGTACTCATGTTCATATTTATGTCACAGTCTATAGGAAATTTAAAGTTTTATACCATTCCAAATAGTCCAAGCTGTTCTAAAGCATCCTAATTACCCTGATTGATTGGAAACAGCTGTTTTAATCAACTCAACAAGTGAAAAACAGAAGCTCTCTGCTGTTGGCTTGTGGACAATCATGGTAAAGTATGTAATACAGAACTGTGTTTTTCACCAATTCTGCGTTAAGAAATTTTTGGGGGCGCGGCTAAGGTTTGACTTGATGACACATTGGAGCCACAGAGTTTGGCTCTGCCCTTAACACCATAATAACAACTGCATATTAGCATCATTGGTTTTCAATGAATATCTCAGGCGTGGGACGTACTGTACTGTCCTGAGCTGGTCTGGTAGATTGAAGATGGAGTCGTCACCATAGCAACACTGGAGGTGGGCGGAGCTTCTTCCTCCACTTTCTCCTCTTCGTCAATCTTTGGCACGACCCGTGCATCTGACGACAGCTCATTAAAGATTTTCCTAAAAATGTGGATGAAAACAAACCTCAGCTAAAAACAACAGAAAACTGACAATGATCACCTTAGGTACACCTCATGTGCTTTATTCAGTGTTAAATGCTAACAGTGTGAGTTTGAATGGCATTTTACATGACATTTATTGCCATACTACTGAAAGCAGCAGCAGATAGTTCACCTCAGAGTTCATCTTGAAAATAAAATAAAACGTTAAAAAACAAATTGAACTTTAGAACTGTGACTATAAACCAACATATCTCAGTGATTCAGCATCTAATATTGTTTAAAGGTTTAATATGTATTAATTAGATTATAAATCTTACCATTTTGTGAATGAGTGCATATTCTGTGCTTCTGAATGGCTGTATTTAAATTTCTGTCATGTTTTGTCTGGTGCAAACAGCAAAATTCCTTATCACTGCAAATCTCATGAAGTAGCGTGTTAAGACGCGGGGTTACAGTGTAACCTGCTCACCCAATGTTTACGCTTGTAACATTTATATTATTTGCAAATTAACCTCATGTGGAACTCTAAATCTGTGTCTTATTTATAGTATGCTATGTCCACCGAAGGTCACATTTTGCTCATGGGTGCTTGCTTTGAGAGCCTTTCTGAATTAATGAATGAAATACGCGGTTTTCCACCAAGGCAACCCGGGGAGCTGAAATATAATTGGCCAAACTGGCAGTGAGCAGGTTAAAAGAACCAAAACAAAGACAGACGTTCTAGCATGGAATGCCTATTTTAAAAGCAGAATATCTGACTTCAGCATTGTTTTTCAGATAAACAAGATGTTCACAGGGCATGTTTCTTAAATATCTGCAAACATATTATAGTATTTTTATGCTTTAGAAGAGTCAAAAATGTACATACAGCACCTTTAAAAGAAAATCTTACTCCTAATATTTGCAAAAAATAAAATAGTTTATAAATAATGCTAGTATAATACTGCGTTGCTCAAGAATGGATCTTACCTATACGACGGTCGTCTGGACAGAATCTCTCTCCTCTTTTGAGGATCTGATGGTGTTGTTCCTGCACCAGCAGTATCAGCAGCTACCTGAAAACATACAAAGATAATACGCATAAAAACACATTTCAATGCCAAATGAACCTTTAAAATAAACATTTCTTCAAGGGAACATTATCATCAGTGAATAACAAAGCTTTAGTAACTACCACCATATAGCCTATATACTGTAAACAGATTTTAGGTCCCGTGAAGTGCTTTTGAAATTGTTCAGATGTTGATCTACCTGTACTATTGCACACACTTTGTAACATTTTATTTATCAAATTTAAGAGCCTCTTTAACACTTATGTTTATTTTATCAGATCAGATATTTTGTTTGAATATTTTTGTCTTTGACTATTAAAAATATTTGACTTTGTACTGTTGGTAAATTAAAATAAAGTGGTTAAACAACAAAAATCCTAATATACCTAAATGTATAGTTTAAAAAATATTCAATAATTATCTAGATCAAATGATTTGAAACATGATGTAGTAACAATTTTTTTTGCAATATCGCCCAGCCCTATTACTAACATAATGATACTAACATTTAAAAACATTATTGTGGGACTTTATTGTGGGACTTTCTTTTTTTTACTTTTTTACTTCATGGGACCTTTAAAAACATAAAAAAGTGAGTAAAAAATTAATAATTTGAGCTTGATAACAAAAAAGGCCAAATCCATTTGGAAAAAAACACAATAATGACTTTATTATTTTTGATTGTACCATTACTTTAAATAAGTAATGCTCATAAAAAAAACAACCATGCTATGTGACCATAAGTACTTTCTTTCTTCTCCTGAGCAGATTTATTTTGTCCGACTTGGGATTTGTGTGCGTGTGTGACGGAAAAGATCAGATGTATAGACTCTCACACAACCCCAATCTCATTACTGCTCCACAAAGCCACTCTCGCTCTTCTTGTTACTATGTCATTCTGCTTCTCCTTCATCCCACTGATCCCAGGATGAGCAAACTGTGCCCTGTGATTGGCTGAAGCCTTAACTGGCTGCAATGCAATTGGTCAGTTCTCCAGGTGAAAGGACAGGTAAATGAATAACAGGATTGTTGTTTAAAAGAGGCTAACAGATGAGTTCATGTTTTGGTTTAATATGTGTGGACTGTAGATAACTTATGGTAATGTTTACACAGTGGCGCAGTAGGTAGTGCTGTCGGCTCACAGCAAGAAGGTCACTGGTTCAAGCCTTGGCTGGGTCAATTGGCATTTCTGTGTGGAGTTTGCATGTTCTCCCTGTGTTTGCGTGGGTTTCCTCCGGGTGCTACGGTTTCCCCCACAGTCCAAAGATATGTGGTACAGGTGAATTGGGTAGGCTAAGTTGTCTGTAATGTAGGAGTGTGAATGAGTGTGTATGGATGTTTCCCAGAGATGGGTTGCCGCTGGAAGGGCATCCGCTGCATTAAACATATGCTGGATAAGTTGGTGGTTCATTCCGCTGTGGCGACCCCAGATTAATAAAGGAACAGAGCCACAAAGAAAATGAATAATTAACAGAGCAAGGAATTGTTCACAGTATTTCCTATATGTTTTTTTCTTCTGGAGAGTCTTATTTGTTTTATTTTGGCTAAAATAAAAGCAGTTTTAAATTTTTTTAAAACCATTTTAAGGTCAACATTATTAGCCCCATTAAGCTATATATATTTTTTATTTTCTACAGAACAAACTATCATTATACAATTATTCGCCTAATTACCATAACTTGCCTAATTAGCCTAGTTAAGCCTTTAAATTGCCCTTAAAGCTAAATACTAGTATCTTGTAAAATATATCTATTAAAATGTACTGTCTTTGTTACCACGACTGGGGTGGAGTGACAGGAGACCACAGGAGGTAAGATCCACTATGCAGTTTATTCAACAGTCAGGCAAGCAATGGTCATGCAAACAGGTATATGAAGGTAGTCCAGAATCGTAAACGTTTAAACAGGCAAATGGTCAAAAGGCAGGCAGCTAAACAGGAAGACAAGGTACTAGGCTAGGATCGATACACGGAGAAACAAGACATGGAAACGCGTTGTAATGTATACAGGGAAACAAGACTCTGCACCCTGGTAGCGTGAAAGAGTGGCTTATGAATGGGATGTAATCAGTCTGTGAACAAGGCTCAGCTGGTGCTTGCAATCAGGATACATGAGTGAGCAGGCGTGCGTGTTTGGGAGCAGTGCATGTATGAATGTGTAGTCCTGGGGAATGCGGAAATGAAGTCCTGAGTTCGTGTGAGAACCAGCGATCCTCTGGAGAGCGATCGCTGGTTGTGACATAGCCCCCCCTCTAGGAGTGGATTCCAGACACTCCACTTACTGTTCAGGCGGGAGGCGGAGCGGAGGCAGAACAGGGGGAGGGATGGAGGGCCAGGACCATGCAGCTGGGGCGTACCTGGGGCGTGGAGCTGCGGAGGGCCTGGAGACTGGAGCTGCGGAAGACCCGGAGAGTGGAGCTGCAGTGGTCCTGGATCACGTGGCAGCGAAGGACCTGGAGTCCTGCGAGGAACCGGCAGGGCTGGAGGCTTGAAGGGAGCCGGCAGGGCGAGGAGTCTGGATGACGCCGGCTGGGTGAGCTGTCTGGATGGCGCCGACAGGACGAGGAGTCTGGATGGCGCCGACAGGGCGAGGAGCTGTAGTCGTTCGGGAAGCCCAGGTGGCGAACACTCGGGAAGCTCAGGCGGCGGCGACCACTCGGGAAGCTCAGGCGGCGGCGGCGACCACTCGGGAAGCTCAGGCGGCGGCGGCGACCACTCGGGAAGCTCAGGCGGCGGTGGCGACCACTCGGGAAGCTCAGGCGGCGGCGGCGACCACTCTGGAAGCTCAGGCGGCGGCGGCTCTGGCCGAGGCGCTGGCTGCGACGTCGGCTCTGGCGCTGACTGCTGCGTCGGCTCTGCCTGCGGCGTCGGCTCTGGCTGAGGCGCTGGCTTCGGCGTCGGTTCTTGCAGCGGTGTTGCCAGCTCTGGCGGTGGTAGCTCCGGAGGATCTGGCAACACTGGACGGTCTGGCAGCACTGGAGGGTCTGGCAGCACTGGACGGTCTGGCAGCACTGGAGGGTCTGGCAGCACTGGACGTTCTGGCAGCTCTGGAGATGGCCTTTCAGGGGCAGGAACAGACTTGGGACTGGAAGCCATCTTGTGAGCTGGCTGACTGGGAGCAGCCATCTTGTGAGCTGGTTGTGGAAACTGGGTCGCAAGCCCCGTTGCCAGCGGGTCTTGCTCTCTACAGCCGCCCCCCCAAAAGATTATTTGGACTTTCGTCCGCCTCTCCTATGGTGAGGGAGGATCCACTCATTTGAAGTGCCAAATCAATAAATTGTACCAGTGTCCAGCGGGGATTGTGTTGTGGCATCATGGAGTACAATGGCTCAGAAAGTCCTCCATGAAAAAATATTCTGAGACATCCTTCATCCAGGGTGGTACGGTGGGCCAGATTAATAAAGTCCTCCACATACTCTTCAATAGACCGGGCATCCTGACGGAGGCGCATGAACTGAATACCTGCTGGATCCATGTTCTGGCCGAGTCTTCTGTTACCACGACTGGGGTGGAGTGACAGGAGACCACAGGAGGTAAGATCCACTATGCAGTTTATTCAACAGTCAGGCAAGCAATGGTCATCAGGTGCAAACAGGTATATGAAGGTAGTCCAGAATCGTAAACGTTTAAACAGGCAAATGGTCAAAAGGCAGGCAGCTAAACAGGAAGACAAGGTACTAGGCTAGGATCGATACACGGAGAAACAAGACAGGGAAACGCGTTGTAATGTATACAGGGAAACAAGACTCGGCACCCTGGTAGCGTGAAAGAGTGGCTTATGAATGGGATGTAATCAGTCTGTGAACAAGGCTCAGCTGGTGCTTGCAATCAGGATACATGAGTGAGCAGGCGTGCGTGTTTGGGAGCAGTGCAAGTATGAATGTGTAGTCCTGGGGAATGCGGAAATGAAGTCCTGAGTTCGTGTGAGAACCAGCGATCCTCTGGAGAGCGATCGCTGGTTGTGACAGTCATCATGACAAAGATCAAAGAAATCAGTTATTAGAAATGAGTTATTAAAACTATTAGGTTTAGAAAGGTGTTGAAAAAAAAGTCTTTTTTCCTTTAAACAGAAATTGGGGTAAAAAATAAACAGGGGGACTGATAAGTCTGGAGGGCTAATAATTCTTACTTCAACTGTATCGAGTGTATGAAAAACTAAATGTGTTTACCTGTACAGTTTGTATTTGAGGCGATTGTATGACGGAGGGCTGTGTCGTCTGAATGACCCCTTGCAGCTGTAGTGTCTGTCCATTAGGTAATGAAACCACAGACACTCCCTCATTTACCTACGAGAGGCACAGAGACAAACACTGTTTTTGTTTACTTAAAATGTTAACCAACACTTTATTAACTAATCATTTACACTTTAAAAGGCTAGTTTTAATAATACAATCTTGGGCCCAAAATGGACGAATCCATTCAATGGGTTTCATTTTTAAAAGATTTTAAAATAAACTTTTAACCCAACGCAGGGCTCAAAACTGACTGAAATTGAGCTGAGTGATTGACCACTGATATTAACCAATCCATTCGCATTCTGTTCTAGCGCAGTGGGCCAATGGGAAAAGCTTGAATGCGGGACAAGCATTGCAGGCTTTGTATGCTGCAGCAAGTTGACATGTCAACTGTTTTAAACCAATCCTGAGCGCTGCGTTTGGTGTTTTTAGGTGCAAAGATGCTTAATGCGTGAATGCCTAATAAATCCGCACATGTGGTGAACATTGATATCTACAACATTGGAGGCAACATTGGACAAATTCACAAGATTTGATATATATATATATATATATATATATATATCAGGGATGCCACTGTTCTCAATATATTATTGAAGCGTACACGGTTCAATACGCGCTTGTGAATTGCGGTTTTCTCGGTTTTGCGTTTAAATATTTATGTGCATTTTATATCTCCATGAATTGACTGTGTGTGCCTCTAAATCCATGAGCTGAGATGAGGAGTAAATATCCAATCACTATGCTCTAAAGTTAGGGGGCGCTTGACCATCATTCCACACTTTAAGTGAGGCTGAGGCAACAGTACGAGGAAGCGCCGGCGAAGTGAGGCAACACTACAAGGAAGTGCCGGCGAAGTGAGGCAACAGTACAAGGAAGCGCCGGCGAAGTGAGGCAACAGTACGAGAAAGTCTTTCTAATCTGCGGTGTGAGGACATTTCTGTTTTGCCGGTAAGTATAATGCCAATAAAAGAAAAAACGGTGAACAAAAAATAACGTTTTACACGTATAACCATGACTGCACATCTGCAGCACCATCACCCAGCAATATCACTGTCTGAAGGCAGGATAGCAGAGAAGGTAATACAGTCCTCCAAATAGAAACAATCCCTCACTGAATCTACCCAACTGGTTCCGAGAGACACATAAAACTAACAAAGGCAGTGAGGGTGTTTCCTGCTAAAGATTTGCAGCCGTTTTCGATGATTAGAGATGTGGGCTTTTATAAAAGCACTCGATCCGCGTTACAAACTACAGTCTCGCATTATTTCAGCACCGAGATAATTAAGATGGTTTATTTATGTTTACTTAAGTATAAATATGTTGATTTGATATGGCCAATTGATTTTTATTAACTTCACATGTATGTTTATTTTCAAAATGTAGGAATTTATGTGTTCCCCAGTTTGTACATGGGCTACCAGCAGCTGTGAGATTTCATTGTTATTTTTTTTTTATACAATACACTAGGAACTAGTGTACTTCTCTTGGCTTTTGAGTAAAAACATTTTTTAAATTTTTTTCTCCTTAACCGTTTACTGTTCCTATTGCCTATAGAATAAAAAAAAGCACATGTCAAGCCATGAGAATCAAACCAAACACTGTGTTAAAAAAACGATGTATTTATTGAACTGTAGGCTAGCTGTATTGTTTCATACCTAATATATATATATATATATATATATATATATATATATATATATATATATATATATATATATATATATGTACATGTGGCTCTTTGAACAAAATATGTGGCTCTATAGTTGTCTCCCTTTAATAATACTTTACAGTTAAAAAATGTATATCCGTCACTAGAAATCAGTTTCCTATTGAAAAAATAATTACAATTCCTGTTTTAATGTCAGTTTTCAATACAGAAATGAATAAAAACTTAGTTAACAATAAAAGGACATCAGTGCATGTGTGTGGGGCTGTGGATAAACTAGAATCGCGACACCAATAAAGAGCAAACAACCTGCGTTTAATTGAGTGTTTGTAAAAATGTATTTTTTTTTTACAGTATTGTTGTTTTTGTTATTTTGTATGTTGAATGTTTCAATTCATTATTTTCATTAATTATTATTATTATTTACTTGTTTAGTTTTTTATGTAATTTGAATGTGTGTATGTGTATGTATATTAGGGGTGTAACAGATCACAGTTGAACGATGTTTCGTGCAAATCACAACCCACGTTTCGAAACACACATGATCAGCAGATTAATACACCTTTTTGTAGAATAATGATAAATTTGTAATGATCATCAGATAGATTGTCTCTCGCTTCATTAAAATCACATGCATAAAAGCATTTAGGCTTTCCTGTAAAATATAATGATGACGGAAGAAGTTGTGGTAGATTATTCAGGATGTGGTGGGTTTCTTAGGTATTTTCTGTCTTTACTTATTTAGCCTGCATTAATGCATTCAGTGTAAGCTGCACGATTAATCATATATATAAAGATAAGGATCTCAACACCCACACAACATAAATTATAAATGATGGTGATTTGCATATGTTTATTAATCCTTCGAATCTCTGCATTCAAATCTGTGTTTGAAAAAACGTAAAATTGTTGTGTTGTGCAAAGGTGTGGCGCTGTGGATAAACTAGAATCACCACACCAATAAAGGGCAAACAACCTGCGTTTATATGGCACCAAGCGTGCAGTTAATTTGCCCTTTATTTTCAAAATAATAGTAAAGTACGATTTTTGTTATTTAAAACAAGCCAAAATTAAAACGTTTTTGTTTCAAGTAACTTTTTTTATAATAATAGTAAAATGTTTGTTTATTTTAAATTCTGCTGCTACTCAGAAAAAAACAAGAGTTTATTTAAAAGAATTTAAATAAATTGTGGCTATTTCATTTATGGACTTGCTCAACTTGTAATGCTTCATATTTGTTTATTTTTGAGTTGCGCCTGTAAAACCTGTATTATTTAAAGTAATATACACACCCCGATGACTCTGCAAAAAAATGCATTTGGCAAAAACAAAAAAACCTAAATGGCTCTTCTAAAAAAAAAAGGTTGTTGACCCTTTGCTCTGAGTTTGTTTTAATTATCACTGCATTGTATACTTACAGGCTGGGCTGTTTATGTACAGTTAAAATCAGAATTATTAGCCCCCGTTTATTTTTTTCCCAATTTCTGTTTAACGGAGAGATTTCTTCAACACATTTCTAAACATAATAGTTTTAAAAACTAATTTTTAATTACAGATTTATTTTATCTTTGCCATGATGACAGGAAATAATATTTGACTAGATATTTTTCAAGACACTTCTATACAGCTTAAAGTGACATTTCAAAGGGGGGCTAATAATTCTAACTTCAACTATATACATATAAATCTAAATGTATGATTTGCTTGAACACTCCCTCAACTGAACTTGCTGCAAGTGAGACTGAGAAAATGAAAATGCATCATTCTTATCTTAATTTTAATATATATTTGTTGTTGGTCAGTTATCTACTAGATAAACAAGAATAACGAATACCATCTGAGGTGAAGTGCTTCAAAACCAGTCCGCTATATGCTTCAGTGCCAAAATGCAAATTGGTATGTTAAATAAAATAATAATCTTGCCTAAATAAAATTAAAGTGAAATAATCAAAGTTTCAGAGAAGCCTGTATATTTATCTGTATACATGGTTATTAACAAAATCATACATTGCTTCGGTAAATTACAATTTAATTCATTTAATCAATCAGGTACTTTGAATAAGCAGCAAAGGCGTTTACAAGGTAGGCTATTCGCAGCAGCACTAAAGTGTTTGCAGATTACCTCAAAAGAACAAACTCGGTTGGAAAGGTGAGAAAACTCAGAAACTCGTTGTGAGAAAGGAGGTGTCTACTTATTTGTGCCAGTCTGCCAGATAAAATTTTTTAAAACTCCTTGAATGGTATTTTGATCCCATGCGAGGAGGCAAAAAAAATTAAAACTTAAATAAAAAAAATTCCTTCCTCTGCTAAACATCATTTGGGAAATATTTGGAAAAACATAAAAAAATTTAAAGGTTGGCAAATAATTCTAATTTTAACTGTATATCAGACATGAATTAATTTATTTTCCTTCAGCTTAGTCTCTTTCCTCTCTTTAAAAATTAGATGTTACGAAACACCAACATGGAGTGGCTAAATATCAACTTCGGTATAAACAGCCCTGGGAGTAAGTAAGTAATACTACAGTATAGTATCTATTCAATGACCAAATAAAACTTATTTGACAAAAAAGAGATTCACCTAAATACAGCAGTATCTAAATACAATAATCCAACCATCCAATGTTATTATCTAAAACAATCCCTGTCTTGGCACACAAATGTGCATTACATCATATGTTCAGCTACAAATAACGTTTTAAAGCATGGGCTTTATACAGAAAACGAAACCAGCGTCATCCATTTGTGTAAGTCTTATATGCGTGTGAGTGAGTCAGAGTGAGACTGTACCTGACTTGTTGCTTTCTCAGTTGCACTGGCTTCCTGTTGCGCTACGGTTGCAGTTTCCATGGCGAACGGCCTAGCAACAGAGTAGAGAGGAAATGCACACTCAGCGCTCTGCGGAGTCAAACGTCATCCGATTTTTTAGCAGCCTGCTGAATTTGATGCAATAACCCTTCATTTAAGCACACCGCTTGCCAATCTGGTGATCCTACATGACATGCAATAATACAGGTTTGAATTGGTGGTGAAATGTTCATGGATTAGAGAAACGTACAGTTGAAGTCCATTCTTTTTCAGATATTTCCAGAGTGCTGTTTATGAGAGACAATATTTTTTTCAACACACTGATAAACATAACAGTTTTAATAACTCATTTATTTTGTCTTAGCCATGATGACAGTACATCTTTTTTCCTAGTTATTTTGCAAGATACTAGTGTTCAGCTTAAAGTGCAATTTAGAGCCTTAACTAGGTCAATCAGGTTAACTAGGCAAGTTTGGTTAATTAGGCGATTAATTGGTTTTCTTCAAGCTAGAAGGGCTATTGTATAATATATTGAACTGGATAGACTAAATTATATCATCAAAGACAAACAAAAGGACTATGACTATCTTTGGGAACCAGATATGAATATTATGAAAACTGAGTGTTTGTAAACATGTATTTTTATTTTCTACAGTATTGTTTTTGTTATTTTTTCATTACCTATTTTCAATGTTTCAATTCATTATTTTCATTCATTATTATTATTTACTTATTTTTATTTAACTATTATTTAGTTTTTTTTATGTCATTTAAATGTGTGAATTGTATGTATATTTGGGGTGTAACAGATCAAAGTTGATGGGTGATTGATGAAAGCATTTAGGCTTGTGGTAGGTTATTCAGGATGTAGTGGGTTTGTTAGGTCTTTTCTGTCTTTACTTGTTTAGCCTGCATTAATGCATTCAGTGTAAGCTGCACGATTAATCATATAAAGATCGGGATCTCAACACCCACGCAACATAAATTATAAATGATGGTAATTTGCCTACGTTTATTAATCCTTTGAATCTCTGCATTCAAATCTGTGTTTGAAAAAACGCAATAAATAACACAGAAGTCCTGGAATAACAGTTTAGAGTTTGAATATAACCACTGATGTTTATGGTAAAGATTATAATCACAGTCATATGCATTTACCTAGGTCAGGGGTCACCAATCTCGGTCCTGGAGGGCCGGTGTCCATGCAGGGTTTAGCTCCAACTTGCTTCAACACACCTGCCTGGATGTTTCAAGTATACCTGGTAAGACCTTGATTAGCTTGTTCAGTTGTGTTTGATTATTGTTGGAGTTAAGATCTGTAGGACACCGCCCCCCCCAGGAACAAGTTTGGTGACCCCTGACCTAGATGCTCAAAAATGAAAGTCGAACATTAAAAATATACTAAATAATCCTTAAAAAATGATCCATCTAGCAATGAAACATGGCGTTTTATAAGTGAATAATGAAATCATTTATTGAAAATTAGCCTAAAAATAAATATGGGTTGAACAAAATATAATGTTAGATTTTTACATTTAGCATTATCAGCAACAGTAGTAATAGTGCATTTTTCACAGTACTTAATATTTTACTATTTATTTTTATGCAGCTGATTATTTCTTCGTTTAGTTTTTAATTAAATTGGAGGTGCTGTTTGGTAAAACCAAAAGTGTCTTGCAGTACTGTTTTTGTAATAAAAGGACTGCAAATTTTATTTGTCTCCTCCTCTTTTTGGCTGATCCAAAACATGGTCTGATCCATGACTAAAAAAACATAATGTGATCTGAACCGTGAGATCCATTACACCACTAATGTATATGTAAATATACTGTACATATATAAAAAGGGTGTGTATTCTGTGTGCTGTTTTGTAGGCTATATTGTTATTGTATGCCTAGTTAATAAGGGGAGAGGGGAAAAAATCAATAATCATATTTGGGGAAAAAATTAAGCAATCAAATGTACAACAGTGGTTTGTTCTTTCACCAATTGAAAAAAAGAAATCTCAAGGAGGCTAACAATATTGACCTTAAAATTGTTTAAAAAAGAAACAGACATGAAAAATAGAAATAAATAAATCAAATAAATAAGACTTTCTCTAGAATAAAAATATAGGAATTACTGTGAAAATGTGCTTCCTCCATTAATTATGACTTGAAAAATATGTTTTTCATTCATTTTCTTTTCGGCTTAGTCCTTTTATTAATCTGGGGTCGCCACAGTGGAATGAACCGCCAACTTATCCAGCATATGTTTTACGCAGCGGACGCCCTTCCAGCTGCAACCCTCAACCCCAATCTCTGGGAAACATCCATACACACTCATACACTACGGACAATTTAGCCCACCCAATTCACCTGTACCCTATGTTTTTGGACTGCGGGGGAAACCGGAGCAGAAGATTTTTCAGCACATTTCTAAACATAATAGTTCTAATAACTAATTTCTAATAACTGATTTATTTTATCTTTGCCATGATGACAGTAAATAATATTTGACTAGATATTTTTCAAGACACTTCTATACAGCTTAAAGTGACATTTAAAGGCTTAACTAGGGTAAATAGATTAACTAGGCAGGTTAGGGTAATTAGGCAAGTTATTGTATAAAAATGGTTTGTTCTGTAGATTATTGAAAAAGAAACTAGCTTAAAGGGGCTAATAATTTTGTCCTTAAAATGGTGTTTAAAAAATTAAAAACTGCTTTTATTCTAGCCAAAATAAAACAAATAAGACTTTCTCCAGAAGAGAAAATATTATCAGACACACTGTGAAAATGTTCTTGCTTTGTTAAACATTTTTTGGGAAATATTTAAAAAAATAATAACTTAAAGGGGGGCTAATAATTCTGACTTTAACAATTAAGCAAATAAACATTTTCTGTTATGTTATACATTTTGTACCTATTAAACTTTTTTCAGTTTATGTCAATATCGTAACAATACTGTATACAGTGAAATAAGCTTCAGCAATTAATGGCAACAAGAAAATTTGATACCGTCAATAAGCCTAATCTCCTTACAGTGTAAAAATGTAAGGAGATTAGTGGATGTTTTGCCTTTGTGTGGGTCTTAGATACTGTACCTAACATAAAACTATAAGGCAGAAACAAAACATTTCGTAATCTTATGAGAAATTAAACGTGCTTGACGAATTTATGACAAAACAGCGAGTCACTGCTTCAGTATCTAATCAGAAGAACTCAATGAGAAAAACCAAACAAATTAATTTCTGTGCTGTACTTTACTCCATGCATCAGACATAAAAAAAAGTTAAAGACGAGATGTCCAAAAGTGTTGTTTGCATGATATTAAATATACAGAAGTGCTTTTATATATGAATCATATACATGATGTTTCAGCTTAAAATGCTCCAAATATGGATGAAATAATGTTCTACTATGCATTGCAACATATTCATTCATTCATTTATTTTCTTTTCGGCTTAGTCCTTTTATTACTCTGGGGTCGCCACAGCAAAATGAACCACCAACTTATCCAGCATATGTTTTATGCAGCGGATGCCCTTCCAGCTGCAACCCTTCACTGGGAAACACCCATACACTCCCATTCACACACATACACAATAGACAATTTATCCTACCCAATTCACCTGTACCACATGTTTTTGGACTGTGGGGGAAACCGGAGAAAACCCAGGAGAACGTAATTAGCCTTGTTAAGCCTTTAAATGTCACTAAGCTGTATAGAAGTGTCTTGAAAAATATCTAGTCAAATATTATTTACTGTCATCATGGCAAAGATAAAAAAAATCATTTTTTAGAGATGAGACTATTATGTTTAGAAATGTGTTGAAGAAATCTTCTCTCCGTTAAACAGAAATTGAGGAAAACATAAACGGGGAAGCTAATAATTCAGGGGATTTAATCATTCTGACTTCAACTGTATATACTAAATTACACCAGTATACTGTGATAAAAATGAAAGTATCATATCGTATTGTTACAGTCCATCAGTTTGTTATAGTTAATACTAAATAGTTTAAACAAAAGTAAATGCTGTAATATAACACTATAGTTTTTATAAATTACTGTAGTATTTTTTTAAATGTGGGATCAAATGATTACTGTTTTAAATAGTGAAATAAATTTAAACATTGCTAAACTGAATGACTTTAGGTGTTCTTTAATCACAGCAAAATGTACATTTTGAGTTTTTTTTTTTAGGTAAAAAATCTAAGGTCATATTCTGATTTACTGTACAATAGGAAAATTATTTCTTTCTTGACTGACCCATATGTTACATGACTGCAACAGAAAAACAAACAGACTGACTGGTGTTCAGAATGAATGCAATAACAGCAGTTTGGTGATTAAAACGGCACACAAACACACACACACACACACACACACACGCACACAGAGAGAGAGGGGGAGAAAGAGCAAGCTGCAGGCGCGTGCACTTCCTCGTTTACTAGACCAGCGCACAGTCTGCACACACTTCTAAACCATTCCAGCAGACTCAAACTACTCATGACGAAATATTTCGTTTCTCAGTTACTTTCAGCATATAGATCTTCTTTCCAGACTTCTATCTGAACTCAGTTTACTTAATGTTTTCTGACTGACAGAACAAGCGCGCGCAAACTTTGAACAGCTCGAGCTTATGTAACAGCAACAGTGGCACGCGGATCTGACATGCATGGGTACACAATTGTAACATTCAAGCTCACAAATAAATATAGGAAAGCTTTTCAACACTAGAAAGTTTTACATTTTTTAGGTTAGCCCACTATTTTCTGCACGTCCCCGAACCGTTACGTCATTCTCCACAAATGCAATACATTTTTAATAACGCCAAGCATGAATGTAAGTTGACCATTTCGCTTTATTGTATAGACTATTTTTGTGCGCGTTTTAGTCTGATTATAACCAACTCCAAACTTTTAAGTTAATATATCTATCGCTTTCAGTTATTCGCGGGTTTATTTTCCTGTCAACGGTAGTTTGGCGCTAACATTAGTTGAACCAGGAACAGCGTCCATGACAGCTTCGCTTTATTTTGTAAAAACAAACTGAACAGTGGCGACATGTTCATCTTCCTGCGTTCATCTCCAGATCCTTTCTGTCTGTCTGGTGGCGGATCGTGCCAGCAATAACTTACCCGAGTTTTACGTAGAGTCTCGTCACTCGTTACGGGTGGAGTGGAAGCCCGACTCGCTGCACACGTAGAGCCCACGTCAGCTCTGATGATGCGTCTGGGAGATGTGGACTATGCAGCCAGAGGCCCCGACAACGCACACACACATACACAAGAACACACTGGGTGGAGCATAGGCTGTCACTCGCCCTAAACTATACCGGTTGAAAAAGTTCAAAACAATGTCTACATTTGAGACTTAATAATAATAATAAGAAGAAGAAGAAGAAGAAGAAGAAGCATTTGATAATAAAAAGTGTAACAGACCTTAAACAAACGTAACAAAAACACTAGCTTAGAAACAACTTTTACTCAAAATAAATAAATAAAAAATACAAGCAAGTAAACAAATATTAAAATTTTAGTTTGTTTTAATACGTTTAATAAAAAGAAGTTTGATGAAACAGCGCCATCTAGTGACAAAAGAGTAACATACTTTCTCAGTTCTCACATACTTTCTCAGTTCTCACTATTAATGATGATGTCATAGCTTGATTGCAAACCCATTTATGCAAATCCACATTTTTGAAATAAGGAAAGAAAGAAAGAAAGAAAGAAAGAAAGAAAGAAAGAAAGAAAGAAAAGAAAAGAAAAGAAAAGAAAAGAAAAAAAGAAGGAAGAAAATAAAGAAAGAAAGAAAGAAAGAAAGAAGGAAGGAAGGAAGGAATGAAGGAAGGAAGGAAGGAAGGAAGGAAGAAAATAAAGAAAGAAGGAAAGAAAGAAAGGAGCAAAGAAAGAAAAAAAATAAAAGAAAGAAAGAAAGAAAAAAGAAAGGAATAAAAGAAAGAAAGAAAGAAAGAAAGTAAGAAAGAAAGAAAGAAAAAGAAAAGAAAAGAAAAGAAAAAAGAAAGAAAGAAGGAAGAAAGAAAGAAAAGAAAGAAAGAAGGAAGGAAGGAAGGAAAAAAGAAAGAAAGAAAGAAAGAAAGAAAGAAAGGAAGAAGGAAGGAAGGAAGGAAGAAAGAACGAAAGAAAGAAAGAAGGAAGGAAGAAAGAAAGAAAGAAGAAAGAAAGAAAGAAAGAAAGAAGGGAGGAAGGAAGGAAGGAATAAAGAAAGAAAGAAAGAAAGAAAGAAAGAAAGAAAGAAAGAAAGAAAGAAAGAAAGAAAGAAAGAAAGAAGGGAGGAAGGAAGGAAGGAAGGAAGGAAGGAAGGAATAAAGAAAGAAAGAAAGAAAGAAAGAAAGAAAGAAAGAAGCAAGAAAGGAAAGAAAGAAGGAAAGAAAGAAGGAAGGAAAGAAAGAAAGAAGCAAGAAAGGAAAGAAAGAAGGAAAGAAGGAAGGAAAGAAAGAAGGAAAGAAAGAAAGAAAGAAAGAAAGAAAGAAAGACTGGAATAAAATAAAGAAAGAAGCAAGAAAATAAAAAAGAAGGAAGAAAGGAAAGAAAGAATATAAAGCTGTCTATAACAGCGGTTCTCAAACTTTTTTCAACAAGTACTGTACCACCTCAGAAAAAAATGGTCTCTCCAAGTACCACCATATTGACCAGTATTAAAATACATAGAGTAGCAGGCCTAATTAAGCAATGAAAAAAAAGTAATGAAATCTAAATATTAGCTTGTATACTAAATATATGAGTTTGATCATATATTTTAATTAGATATTAGATCTGCTTACTGTGCATTGGAGTAGGCTTTGTGTGTCGGAAAAGCCTTTGATTAAACTATAATTAAACCACCTGGCATATAAAAATATGGTATACGCCCCCAACAATCTACAATATGGGGATGAGATAGCTACAAATGATTGATTACATAACAAACTTTACAAAATTAAAAACAAAATAAAAGGTTCACCCTATTCAAATCAATTTACTGATCACATCGGTGTTGTGTGTCAAAAGGTTGAAAGTGTGTTTGTTTTTTACTTTAAATATTTATCAATTCTTCAGCATACCACTAGTGTTACACGTACCACAGTTTGAGAACCACTGGTCTATTCTGAGTTTTTGTAGCTTGCTACTGTAAAACATTGAGGCTACAGCAGCATTTATGACATAATTGTGCAAAGAACTCTCAAGTCAGTGTTGATTGCTTTGGTTGGAAACTATGTGCCAGATTTGTTGTAGTGGAATGAACTGAAAAACAGGAGGGGCTCAGTGCCTCTGTCAGCAAAAACAGATGCTCATCTATAAATGATGAGTCACTGCAGACTCACTCCAGCATGGGATTCAGATTCAGCCCACCATTTGGGCTGGTTATGAGAAGATAAATACATGCACTGCCAGCAGATCTGAAACCACCAACTTTACCAGCACATGTTTTACACAGTGGATGCCCTGCCAGCTGCAACCCAGTATAGGAAAACATCCATACACACTCATTCACAAATAAACACTACGGACAATTTCATTTATTCATTCATTCATTTTCTTTTCGGCTTAGTCCCTTTGTTAATCAGGGTTCGCCACAGTGGAATGAATCGCCAACTTATCCAGCATATGTTTCAAGCAGCGGATGCCCTTCCAGCTGCAACCCTTAAGTGGGAACCTTCCACACACACTTATTCACACACATACACTACAGAAAATTTTAGTTTACCCAATTCACCTATAGCGCATGTCTTTGGACTGTGGGGGAAACCGGAGCACCCGGAGGAAACCCATACCAACACGGGACAAGCAAGCTCCACACAGATACGATAACTGACCCAGCCGGGACTTGAACCAGGGACCTTCTTGCTGTGAGGCGAGAATTCTGTCATAATTTATTCCCTTGACTTGTTCCAAATCATTGTTTTTTCTTTCGTTGAATGCAAAAAGAAATATTCTAAATAATGTTGGAAACCTGTAATCATTGACTTAGTAGGAAAAGCAAATACTATTAAAGTCAAAGTTTACAGGTTTCCAGCATTCTTCAAAACATCTTCTTTTGTGTTCAACAGAAGAATAAAACTTTTTGCACTTATAAAATGTATTAATTAAATAACATAATTCAATTGTTTAAAATGTGTTGAAACAACACAATTATTTAGTTTTTTGAGGGCAACGTAATTATTTAATGTTCAATCCACTTAAAATTGTAAAAACGATTAAGTTAACCTAAAACCGACAGGACAACGGATTACAGTTTTTTACAATTGCTATGACACTTTTTTTCAATACATTTAACAAGTTTCCTAAACTCTTAACACGGTTAGCACAGCATCCATCTTCGTGGGCTATACAATTAACACATTTCTTGTTGCTTTGACACAAAATGCATTCAGTTAACACAAATTTAAAATGCTTGAACTTCTTTTACACACAAACTCAACCAAAACCAAAACAATGTAATTTTACAGTCCAATTTACCAATGCTTTCACACAGTATGTCAGAACAGATATGTTCTTAACAGAACCTATATAGGCTAAAGCCAAAGTAAACAGCTGTTCATAGTGTCAATTGAAACACAAATATACTCCCTGCATATATGTATGTATGTATGCATGTATGTGTGTGTGTGTGTGTGTGTGTGTGTGTGTGTGTGCGTGTGTATACTGTATATGACAGCTCCCATCTCCCATATGAACATGATTCCCATCTAGAAAGCACACTCATGTGTTGAGATTTTTCAAATCACATGATCATATGTATGTTCTAAAAAAGGACTCATAAGGTTTTTGAAAGGAACAGTAAGCACATTGCAAAACTCCGTCACCAATACGTCCAGATAAGGTTATGCAATACAGTGATTACTTTATGCACAGTCTGTTTTGCAGTAAATGACTCAATAAACCTGGCATTCATTAGTACATACATTAGCTATAGTACAGTGAACCATTTACACTGTGTCTAATTAATTTTAGAGAGTCATGAAGTTGGAGGTCAATCAAGTCCCACATGAAATTATCTATGTTGACGAGACTGGCTTCAACTTGGCGAAAAGGCATCGCCGTAGGAGAAACATAATAGGCCAAAGGGCCATCGTTACCATGCCGGGCCAGAGAAGAAATCGGGCAAATGCAGAAGACCAGGCAGAATAGAAAATTACTTTGTTTTTTTTATTATAATTGCGATGGTTTTTCTGTTTGTATATCTAGCAGTGATGTCCTTTTGCAAATAAAGTCTGTACTGCAGCAATTCTGTGTCTGTATTTTTTAAAATCAACTATAAATTTTATAAAGCAATTATTTTCTTTATTTTTGTATTGAATCTTTGCAGTAAAAGAACGAAAATGCCTGCATTTTCTAAACCAACAAAATGAAAATGTAAAGAGGCTTTAAATATAAGGGCAGAGCTGACACATAAACTAATGCAGTTTCTGTAATTTTAGCTGATGATAGTGTTTTTATTGTCAGTGTTTTCTGATTGACTGAATGTTTCTGTTGGAAGAGAACATGTGTTTGTGTTTTGAACAATTATGTCATTTTGAAACATGTTCGCAGTGTTTTGTTAGACATGGTGTAGTGTGTTTATTATTGTATTTTGAAAAGAAGTTTAGAAGTTTAGTTTACAATGTGTGATTTTGAGCATGAAATTAACTGTTTTGTCAATTGTTTGTTTTAGGTGTGTTGCTGCGTTAAGAGTTTAGCAAACTTGTTAAATGTATTGGAAAAACTGTCATAGCTATTGTAAAAAACTGTAAGACAACATCAACAGACAACATGTACGTCAACTATGCTGATTTTCCTAAACATGCGGGCAATGAGAGTAGACGAAGACAAATGGGAAGTAGAAAGCAGAAAGCAGGCATGGGAATTTTGGCACAAATGGAACTCCATAATATAATGGCAGAATTTGTATTTTTGGATGAGCTGTCCCTTTAACACACAGACGGCGCAGATCCGATATCTAACTATAGCATGACATGAGGTGCTAGTAGTAAAGTTTGCTGCTGGACTTTATGAGCAATGGATCTTCTTGAGCATCTGGTCATTGTACCTCACGTAGATCAAAGTGTGCTCCTGTAATCCTACAGCTGTTCCACTAAAGCTTCACTCAACTGGGCTTGCAGAACTAATCTGTATCAGGCCCTGGGCGTGTGTGCACCGTATCACTGTCCAATACCACCTGCCCACTGTTTCTATTTTAGTACAGCTCTGCCCTACTAGCAGAAAGTTAAATGTGACACACGTATATACATAAATGCACACACAATTGCCCACATGCCTGGAAACCAAAGCTGAATTATTCACACCTTGATGTGTGGAGGTGACATTTAAAAACATTCTTTTGAAGAAGTAATAAGTTAGCAATTTATGAAATAAATAAAAAAAAAAAAAAAACGTAAAGATGAATAGATATATTTAATTTATGTTATGGGGTTTGAGAAGGGGCCTAGCAACCCGGGAGATTGGGGGTGGAATACATCCTCCTTAGTTTTAGAAACAGACTATTTAGAAACAGGTGATTAAGAATGTAAACTTTTGGATTTCATACAGCTGTTAGGGTTAGGGTTAGGGTTAGGATCACTTTTAAAGTCACTTTTAAAATGTCCACTACACCCCTGGGTTTGAGATTAAAAATTGAGATGGAATGTGTAAAATGAAAGTAATTGGCAACTTGTTATCTTATATTGTTCATCTCATTTGTCCTTTTAAAACATGATTTGTTTATGAATTTAAATTAACATTTTATGCAACAAAAATGTGCACTGTTCAGATTGACTACTCTTTTGATATGTTAGGGATAAAAACATCCACTGAATTAAACTGCTGTAAAAATGCATCAGATAAATATTTTTTCAAATTTTTTTTTGCATAAATCTGTTACTCAACCTCAGTCGTGATTAAAACTACTAAATTGTACAGTAAATTTACAAAACATGTCACTGATTCATGAAAACTACTAAATTGTATATAAAATTTACAAAACATGTCACTGATTTGGTGAAAAAAAATCACAAAGAATGGTGTATCTTCAATATAAAAAGTAGTTGTGGACTGTTTTTTTTTTTTTTTGGACATGTGAATGATTAGAAACAACATTGGCTTTAACCCATTGCTAGACTTAATTTTTTTCTCCCTAATTTACTGTTGGTGGCTGTTTTGCCCCATTGACTTCCATTATCACTACATATGATGGTGTACAAATACACAGTCTTTGTTTTTGCTTACTCCAGTTCCAAGATTCATATTTTGATTTTCTCAGACACATCAAGGTAAGTGTGCACAGGTCACTCTCACACTCACAGACACACATACACACACTTTAATTTGCTGTTATACTCCATGTAAAAACCAGAAACTAAGCTTTTTTCTTTTTTTTTTCTCAGGCCTATCTAAAGTTTTATTGGTGCCAACTGATGATCAACAGTAAAAAGGACCAATTTTATCTCTTCCCAACTGGGAGAACCCCCAACAATTAAAAATGCATGATTATATGGTATCATGGTGCTGTAATCAGAAAAATGTGGTTATGATGGAAGTCAGTGAGGCAAAAACAGCCACCAACAGTAAATTAGGGATTAAACAAATCAAAAACAATGCATCAATGGCAATGTTGTTTCACGTGTCCAAGATTTTGATAAAAGATTTTGAAAAATTCCAGTCCTATTATTTTTAGATTGAAAATACGTCATTTTGTGTGTGTTTTTTCCACCAAAGTAGTAGTTTTAATCCGCACTGAGGTTGATTAACAGACTTATGCAAGAAAAAAAAGAAAACATTATTTATCTAATGCATTTTACAGCAGTTTAATTTTCAAAGCATTTTGTCAAAATATGCGTCAAATAAGATTTGTCACTGAAAATCATTCTGCTAGCAGAAACAAAGAAAAAGTCATAGCCAATTCAAGACACAAAATCACCCCATGAGTGGATGAAAACATCCCCAACAGTACATAAGGGTTAAAGTAAAGCTGGTTTATTGAACCATAAAGGCTATTTTTATATAACCCTTTTATTTTGGTGGTTTATTTTTCACGTTATAACTCTATCAGAATATCTTAAATATTCGTTAACTTTAATCCATAATGGCAAAATGGTTGGATAATCCTTTCTTTTGCTGATGCATTCTAACGGGGGAAGGTTAGTGTGATTCCTTGATCAGAGTGGATGTCTGACACGATCTCTACTTGGACAGAGTGTCACATGTGTTGAATTTGTATACGTATATTGTGTTCAACAGAAAAAAAAGGAATTTCATAAAAGTTTATAACACTTTGAGTGTGAGTAAACAGTGAGGAAATTTTCATTGTTGGGTGAACTATTCCTTTAGTCCATTGACTTGGATTTTATTACGTTTTTATTCACGGTTATGGCTTAAAGTCATCATAAATATTATACAAAAAATAAAATTCATCTGCATCTTGGGAGAGTGAGTAAATTAAAGAGATAGCTCACACAAAAATGAAATATACTTTTTCCCAAGTGGTTCCAAAATTTTCTTTTTTCTGTTCACTAAAGATGATATACTAAAAAACATGTAAATATTGACTATCATATGGGAAAAACAAATATAGAAGTCAACATTTGGAGTGTTTGGAAACCTTTCATCAAAGTTGTCATAAAACTATTCAACAAAAGCCACTCTTGTCTTAAGACAATTGTGAAACTTTTCAACAAAACTTGGATCCACTTCAAATGTTGACTGCTGTACTGTGGTAAACAATAATTACAGATTTCCAAAACATTTTCCAAAATAACTCATTTTATGTTAAATTAAACAAACACACTCAAACAGGTTTGTGACAAGCAGGGGCAGATTTAACCAATAAGCAAGGTAAGCGGCCACTTAGGGCCCCATGAAATCTGAGGGACCCCAAATAAATACCTAGAAGTCTAAATGATACTATAAATTATACATAACATTGTTTTCTATTATATTTTGTATACAGTGAGGGTCTAAAAATGTTAATTTTAAGGTAATTATTACATCTGTGCAAATGTGTTCCCCACCTTCAATCATGGACCAGTCCAGCAGTCAAATCAGTAAAGATTTAGTTTTAAAAACGAAATCGTTCAATTATTATGTTTAGTTGTGAATTCAACTTAAGAAAACAAATAGTTTCAAAAGTTTTACAAGGTGCTTTACATGTCATTATTAATTTGCATAAAAATAAAATGTAGAAAACGAGATGGAAATATATTTTACAAAAAAAAAAAAAAAAAAAACAGCAAAATAAATTTTGGGCCCTTTGGTTGGAATTGCTTATGTCCCCAAAATCCCACAATCTGCCCCTGGTGACAAGTGAAGGTCGTTTGGAAGAACTATCCCTTTAACACAATGTTTATTTTAGGTAGCTGGCCCTTTAAGACACTGAGATTTCATTAATTCATCCATAAGACTCCTAAAGATAATAAATCCTTCGAATGTTAATAAACACACATTTTACTATTATTTAAAAAAAAAGTTAAGGCGTTAATTTTTGAACAAATAGTGTCACATATATATTTCATAATATGTGCCAATTTCAAGCATTACCGATACGGCAGTTCGGCTTCACCGCCAGAGGGCGCACAAAACCCATTGTCGTTGCTCCCAAACCGATTGAACACGGCGCGGTTCCCGTACACAGACCCCAAACACTAAACAGGTGGTCATACACCGCGGCACAGCGTCCGCCGCGATGAAACGGAACGGGTACCGACCGTAAAGTCACACCGATCCGCCAAGGTGCTGAACCAAAGATTATTGATGATCTTGACACCAGAGCACGGGAGCCTTTGATCCCGAGTTTCCCTTGGATTCGGGAAGGAGTGTTGGAACTATGAAAGTGACGGTGTGTTTTGGGAGAACTCGGGTCGTGGTTCCGTGCGGAGACGGAAACATTAAAGTGCAGTCGCTCGTCCAGCAGGCCGCGATGCGGTACCGGAGAGCGATCGCCAAGGTGAGATGCTGTTTCACTGTATCATCTGATTGTGCTTTGGAAACATAGTTGCGCCGGTGAGGGCTGCAAATATGGCGGTGTGGAGACGGAGTGAGTGAGCGGGGGAAGGGATCAGGACCGTCCGGACACTTTAACTCTGCTCAACACTTCAAAGAACGCCTTTATTCCCCATTAAATAAAGCGCTGTGTGTTTTTATCCTGCTACAGTGTTCCAATCCGCCTTCTTTGTTCTTTATGTCCACAATGGTGCTCTGAAATCCACTGGGAAGTAGGGCAATACGAAGTAATGTTGTAAAGGACGAAGTTTTCTCCATGTTATTATTATCTCTATTTAGAAATGACAGCATTTAATAGAAGGCAATATTATGTATATTGAGTTTTGGTGTGCACGGCTGGTTGCTACAGCTGACGCATCATTAACGTTATGCTGTTTGATGAACAAAATGTCTTGAACTTTTGTCTTGTATTTGTGTGTGTGTGCGTGCGTGCGTGCGTGTGTGTGAGAGAGTGAGTCCTAGGCTTTGTTTCAATGAGGCTGCTGCTAGGCTAACAGTCATAACTCAGATGTCTTTTACACGGTTTATACATGTAACCCGTTGTTTGGAAGTTAAAACGCAGATATACTTCAAGAGAGCGAGGCGCCAAAACAGGGACGCTGTCGGTCAGGAATCAACAAGCGGTCGGTTGAGCGCGAGAACTCCAGCAGACGCTCAGCTCGACGCGTCGTTAGCAGTTATGGGGCGCTGAGGATGTAATTAACATCAGCCTAGTGTTATTGTGATAATTTGAACATTTTTATACGATAAAAACAGATTAGGGCTTAAATATCATTACAAAACTTTAAACATGTCATACTAATAGAAAATGCCCTTATTGTTGTTCATAGCGGGTCGACCTCTCACGGGGGCTACCATGTTGTCATCGTTTGATTTTTCTTTTTTTCCAAGAGCAAACTCCGCCTCACGCGACTCATTTGATTTCATTTGTCTATTGGTATCGGCGAGGAATGCGAGTTTTCACAAATTCCCACGATCAGTCATTGTTTGAATAAATGATTAATTTATCAATTAATCGTTAACCTCCAACATCCAACATGTGTTTACTTCAGTTGCTTCAGGACATGGTGTGCAGATGACACACAAAACGCAAGCATCCCCACCCTAAGCTTGTTTTTACTGTAAATAAAAGCTTAGAGGATTGTAAAAATTATTTATGACAGATAATTCAATAGAAAGTAATGACTAACTCGTTGCTTCAGCATTATTTATTGTCTATTCTGCAGCATGCTGTCAAAAATTGAATTTACACTGAGGAAATTATGATTACAAGTTTAATTTAAAATGTTTTGCTGTCAGAAAGAATTAAATGTACATGCTATTCATTGGCAAACATACAAACATTCGCCCAACTGGAATGTGAGTGTACTGCCGATTAATGAATGTTTGTAATACTGTTTTAGTCAAATACATTGGTAATTCTATTTTTTTAAACATAATTTTGAAACCTGGCTTTTAGTATTTTATCTTTATGTTTCCAGTATTGTCAGCATTTTTTTCTCCATCTTTTGATTATTAAATTGAACGCTTTACCAAGACCAAAGTAGGGCTTTGCAACATGTCGTTTCAGCATCGATATTGTAATGTGATCATTCGCAATAGTCACGTTGCACGATTTGTTGAGGAGTTTGTAATTTATCATTTGCTAGTGTTTTTGAGGCCTGTGACTGTATGAGAATTATAAAAGCATTCAGGCATAAGAAGTTATACCATCAGTAACTTTAATAATGATTAATTTTATTGAATTATTTTTGTTAATAATTACTGTACTTGAATACTATTAGACATGAAAAAAACGATACATCATTATTTCAATTGTATGTTTTTTCTTTTTTGTATTTATGTATGCTTTTAATTTGATTATTAGATTTTTTTATGCAGATGCCCTCCCCAACAGAATCATCCCAATCAATCTAAAATGATAAATTCTTTCCAAATAGAGTCATCTGGTGAAATTTTATTCATATCGCAATATTTATCGAAGACTAGTGTTGTCACGGTACTAGGATTCGATACCAATCAGTACTGAAATTTGTAAAAACATCCATTTCTCTTGTGAAATGGCACCAACAACCATGCCACGTTCAAAGTCACTTAAATCACTTTTCTTACCCATTCTGATGCTCAGTTTGAACTGCTGCAGATTGTCTTGGCCATGTCAACATGCCTAAATGCATTCAGTTGCTGCCATGTGATTGGCTAATTAGAAATTTGCATTAAAGAGCAGTTGGACAGGTGTACCTAATAAATTGGCCGGTGAGTGTAAGTGTACCAGCATAATCAAATCAGATCAAAAAAATAAAAGTCAATACAACTAAATCCAAAATGCCCATGGATGTTTGTTGTGTGAGATGGAGAAACAATTTGGGCTTGTGTTTTGACCACTGTTTGCACCAACAGATCTCCCAGAATAGCTTAACGTCTGGTTTGCGCCTGAGAAATCAGCCTTCATGATCAGCACTTAGAGTAATAGCGTTCAATACACGGCTTTTACAGTTAAATGATCTGCGGCCCAGAGATTTCAGAGCAATATGAAGGACGAGCTGGAGCGAGCATGACAAAAGCTTGTTTGTTCACATGAATAAATTATTTTGTCTTTTAGTAGTGCATGCGGATAATTGTTTATGTGTGTTTCAGTGCTGGCCACCTGTGAGTGTGTGGTGCGTGTGTGGTGAGCCAGTGTTAAATAAAAAGCTTATTGCCACTTTGCTTTCTCTTAAACAGAACAGCTGCTGTTGTATATGGCTGTGATGACAGTTGTTATTATGAAGTTGTAGAGGTTTATCATGAGAATATATAGTTTCATTTTGGCTGAGCAGTTATTATATTCTCATCTAGGGTTCTTGTTATGGCAAATTTAATTTTACGACAATTAAGGATAGCCTGACGTGTGAAAGTTTTGAGCCAGCTGTAAATTATTATGCCTTGCAAACATAAACAATAGCTTTTCAGGTCTGTATTGAATATTGTTGTGGAGTTAATTGTCACCAACTTTAGTTTACTGGCAGGATGTATTCAATTATTTGTTGAAATGGCATCAGTTCTGTCAGTGAAAGCTGAAAATGAAAAATCACTGCATGTGTATAGAAATGGATGTTTTAAAAGTTTCAGTAACGATTGGCACTGAACTTGATACTTTTGGATAATAGTTAAACATCGCATGTTTTAGGTTGCTGAAAGAACATTTGCTCCTTAGTTTTTTTCTGGCTTCTTTGTTTTTTTACACTTCATTCTCACGTTCTGTTTCTGAAAGGATTAAATGTTATTATCTTCAGCTCAAGAAGTTTGTTTTTCAAATATAGTTGCGCGGTGAGCTCTCTCGAGAAAGTGAAATCACTCACACTTTAGACGACCTTGTAAACAACAACAGGGCACTGGGTAGATTCTGCTCTGCTTTGTGGCTGTTCATCAAGACGTCGACAGGGTATGTTAAAGTTTGGGTTCACCATGGCTCGTTATTATATGTATATATTATTACGCTGTAATGTCTCGGCTGTGTATTTAAAATTGCCGTGTCCTTTGTTTTCATTCCCCTGGCCTGTGTGCGAGCTAGTGACGTATCTATGTAAACCAATAGCATTCAGCTGTGCATCTAGCTCCGACTTTTAGTACCCGTTTGAAAGGCTACCCAAAAAGTGGTACGGAACGGTTAATTTTTTGGTACATTTTGACAGTGGAAACGGTCATAAAATATACTGAGCCGTACCGTACCTCTCAGTGGAAACGGGCCATAACCTTCTCACCCAATGTTTATGTTTTTAATATTTATATTGTTTGCTAATTAATAATCTCATGTGGAACTCTGAATCTGCATCTCATTTTGGAGTCTGCTACCGCTCACTGGAGGTCGCATTTCGGTCATGGGTGCATGCTTTGAGAGCTTTCTGAATGAAAGATCGAATGAAATGCGTTTTCCAATGAGGCAACCCGGGTTGCTGAAATATAAACCAAAGACAGCGTTCCGGCACGTAACAGACATTATTAAAGCAGAATATCTGAATTCAGCACTGTTTTTCAGATATTTTTTTTCTCCTAGCATGTTTCTTAAATATCTGCAAACATATTATGGTATTTTTATGCTTTAGAAGAGTCAAAAACTTCACACAGCACCTTTTATATGTTGTTTCTGGAACTGAGTTGTTAAGCTCAGTGAGAGTTAGCTCGTTTTGATGATGTTGATGATGGTTTAGTAGATATACTGATGGTTTGGAGTATCAACGAGACTATGTTTCTGTTGTGACGTTGCTTTTATAACACAGAAGTGGCGTGTTTGTGTGATGTAGCTGATATGCTGATGTCCAGCAGTAGTTTGTATCTCAGGAAATAGAGTCATGTGAACAATAAAGCACATTGACTGTGCTCTGGGAGAGAAAGTGCTTGCAAATGTGTGATCTGCAGTGTCCTTGGGTTTGCTACATTGTCACCCATTCAGTTTGCTCTCCTCTCTGTCCCCAAATGCCTCCGCTACTCTTTAACTGCATTCAGCTTTGGCTTCTTTCTTTCTTTCATGTCCCTGTCTGTGCTCTAGGCTTTCAACTGCTTTACAAACCAAACACACAAACAGAGGTGTTCTGTGTGAGACTCTGGACTTCAGGTTTTTAGTGCTGAGATTATTATCCATCAGAGCACCGGCATACATTATTCCTGTCCGAGTGTGTAATCTCTGCGAGTTTTATGGGTTATTAGTCCATGTATGTGTGTGTGTTCGTTATATTGAAGGGCTCCTATAATCCTTGTTGGATCACAGTGAAGAGAAATATGACAACAGATTGACAAAAACATATGGAAAGGCATTAAACTGAAATACTGATGTTTAATGTGATCTTCGATGTGAAATTGAGCTATCTCAGCTGATCGCTCCTCTGTAGCCTGTTGCACAACAATGCTGCGCCTAGAACTGGATTCTGACTGACTATTTTGTGTCATGGTGCTTGCATGTTTTTA